GAGAAACCCTGTCTCGAAAAACCAAAACAAAAAAGAAAGGTTCTAGTCCATGTCATCTCAATTTCGAAGTTACCCTGTGTAGTTTGAATGATTTGTCTAATGTCCTTGTGGGTGTGTGAGCCTGAGCGTGCATGCACATGTGCTGAGTGTGTGCAGGTGTGGAGCTCGCAGCTCAGTCACTGATCCACGTCTTATGGTTTCAGACTGCCTTGAGGTCCTGGGCTCCACCTGTCGCCGCCTCCCCAGTGTGGGTTTCAGACACACACTGCCACACCCAGCTTTCTACACCAGTGCTAGGGACCAGAACTTACGTCTTTTCCCGTGAGCCATCACCACGGCCCCACCTAACGTCCTTTTGTGACCTGCAGAGTCTATGGTGGTTTTCTTTTTGTTGCTGATACTGGGAAATGTGTCATCTGTGAGTATTGCCAGTTTTTTAACTTTATTGATCTTTTCAAAGAATAAGTTCTTTGTTTCATTTTTTTTCTATTTTTAAATTTTCATTGATTTTTTTTCCTATCTTAGATTTATTATTCTCTTTTGCTCTTTTGCTTTGAGTCTATTCTGCTTTTGTTTTCCAAGATTCCTGAGGGAGCTTAGATTGCTGATTGGAAACTGTTCATCTGTTTATGCATGAGTGTAGTGTAATAAATTTCCCTCAGTAATTCCCTGGCTGTGTCCACCAATTTTGATACACTGTATTTTCACTTTATTCAGTTCTGTGTATTTTTTTTTATCCCTCTTGAATCCTCCTCTCTGTCCAGTGGGTCATTTAGAAGTGATGGTCTGTTTCCCAGCACTAGGAGATTTCTCCTTTATGTCTCTGATTCTTGGTTCAATTCCATGTGGCTGAAGAAATTCTCAGTGCCAGTGCCCTTATAAAGCTGCTTGTGATTTAAATATCTATTTACTCATTTTTAACATAGTCTTTCAATATTTTTTATTTTATGTGTATAAACGTTTTGCCTGCATGTATATCTGTGTGCCATGTGTGCAGTGCTTGAGGAGGCCAGAAGAAGGCATCCTATCCCCTGGAAATGAAGATCCAGAGGTTGTGAGCCAACATGCAGATGCTGTGACGTGGATTTTCTGGACGAGAAGCCAGTGCTCTTAACCACTGAGCCATCTGTCTCTCCAGTCCACGGGCGCTTTTTGATGTTCTTACTTGGTACACGTGTTTCGGAGCACATTCCACCCGGTGTCTGTATGCGGTCTGTTCTTCAGGTTGAATGAGTTCTATTGTCTAACTTTGCCGTACGATGACCCTTCTGTCTGGTTCACTCTGCCCTGGTCCTCCCTTGCTTTGGTTCCTGCATTCAGCTGCTGCCTCATCATACATTTTACTTTTACATATGTTGTAAGCTCACACCATTGTGTTTGCTTCAGATGATCAATGATCTTCAGAGAGACGTAACTAATAAGGAATTATTTATTATTATTGAAGTAGCGGTCATTTGGGGGACTCTTCATTCCTTTTGTAGATTCATATTTCTGTATTTTATCATTGTATCTTTGAAGGGATTTTAAAATCATTTCTCTCTCTCTCTCTCTCTCTCTCTCTCTCTCTCTCTCTCTCTCTCTCTCTCTTTCTCTCTCTCTGTAAGAGATAGAGATTTGTGAGTGTGGATGCCTGAGTTGGCCAGAAGAGGGCATCAGATCCTCTGGAGCTGGAGTTACATGCAGTTGCAAGCCACTGTAGGTGGATGCTGGGAACCAAACTCTGGTCTTCTGGACGAATGGCAAAGGTTCTCAATTGATGACCCATCCCTTCAGTCCTTGAAGGATTTTTTAAAATTTGTCATTGTTATCTTTAGATAAATTCTTCAAGACTGTGTATTTGAAGATTATTTTGTTTTTTGTTATTCAACTGTTGTTGGTTGTAGAATCAGATCTTAAAAGGTCTTTTTTTTCAGGCCTATGTTGCTGCAATATACCCCATCTTGGGTTGTTTGTGATGAGAAATCTGATGTCATACTCACCTAGTTCCTCTGTAATTAATACATCTTTCTTTGGATGCTGCTGTAGAGAACTTCTCTTTATAATTATTTGTAAGTAACTTGGTTATGGTGCCCCTCAGTGAGTCTCTTTTCATTTTGTGGTTGAAGTTTGTTAACTTGTTTTTTATCTTTTGGTACATACATTCTATCTAATGTACAAAACTGCCATTTTTTTTCTTTGAGCATGATTTTTTTCCCCTGGACATTTTTATGCTGCTTTATTTGAAGTTTCCCATGGCACATGCATCATCACCTAGTGTTTTTCATCTTCTTTTCCATTTCATTTTGAAAACTTCCTAGCATATGAGTCCACTTCACTAATCTTTCCATATGTAACATCAAACCCACAGGTAATCCCAGATTTTGTGTGTCTTATTTCATGCAGTATAATTTTTCTCTGTGGGTTAAATCATTTTCGTGTGTGTTTTCTAACAGCTGCACTTAACTTGTTCAGCCATTCTTTAGTTCTCTTGATGTGTGAAATGGAGTTATATTACATTAACATCTTCAAATACTCATCAGTATCACCTCTGGGGTTCAGTGCACTATTTTTTCCCTCATAGTTGGTGTTTTTCTGCTTCACTATAAAGCTGATAAGTTTTCATTGACTGTCAGGTCGGACTGGCTTGACAACAGTTGATTAATCAGTGCTGCCAAGATTTTTAGATGTTTAGAACAAGAAGTGACTCTCATTTTAATTTTTCTATCATGGTTGTAAATGAATGTGTAGATAAAATAGTGACTATAAGTCATCAAGTTGATTGCTTTGTGTATTAGAATTCCATGTTATTTAGTGACTAGTGTTTACTATTCTTTATAATGAGAATCTCACTTTTATATAAAAAAATGGTTTATCCTTTCTGGGCAGTGGTCTTTAATCCCAGCACTTGGGAGGCAGAGGCAGGCAGATCTCTACGAATTTGAGGCCAGCCTGATCTACAAAGAGAGTTCCGGGACAGCCATGGCTACTCAGAAAAGCCCCATCTCAAAAAAATAAAAAATAAATAAAAAATAAAAAAAGGTTTATTCCTGTCCTCCCATTAAAATACCTGGTATGAATTGAGATTTTATATTAATATTGTCACAATATTCCTTTGACATATTAATGATTATCTTATATCTTTCATCCATTCTTTTGTTTTAAACATTATTATTCTAGTCCAAGTGGAATTTGCTTTTGTACTTAGTATGATAATCTTTGTCCTTGTAGAGAGAAGTTTGATCTGTTTATATTTATTGTGATGACCAGTGTCTTTCTGCTAATACTGTCATTGTATTTCATGTCTCCTCTTATTTTCTTCCTCACCCTCTGCATATTGTGCTCATGTTTTCCACTTTCTTCTTTTACTAATCTCATAATTTACATGTATTCTTTTTTATTTTGGCTGATTCTATTTTAAAAATAAAAAACCTTACTAATTCTGGACTCATCTTCTATGCATGGAACATGTGAACCCTTTCCCAGTTGTATCTAGTTGAGAGTGGTTTCCTTTAGTTTTGCTGCTCTGTGTAGGCATTTCCTACCCCAGACTGTTTTTGTTTTGGCCAATTTCAGATTGACTCTGATGTTTTGCTTTTCTTTTATCCCTCCATGCTTCTCTCTGAATTCTGGGAGATTTTCTTTTTCTGAACAGATGATTTAAATTATTTATTCTACTTCCTTCAATTTTTAATATGCTCCTCATGGCTCTTCTACATTTTCAAATCCAACAATCATGATTTTCATCTTAAAGTAAAATGGTCTAAACTCACAGTCACCCTTTGAAAAAGCACTGTGTATTCTCTAATCTCATGGAAATACGAATTTGATAATAAAAATTGTCTTTATATTTCTTCGCCTGGGAGTATGTTTCCTGGATATTCATCGGATTTCACTGTCTATGGAACTGGACAACTCACCCTTCTGTGTGCAGCCCTGGGCATGCTCAGTTCATCCTCTCAGCCTCTTATTGCCCTTTAGTTCATCTTCAGTGTCAACTCTGATCCCAGGCACCAGGATGAGCTCTAAGTTATTGAAACCAGTGGATACTCATCAAAGCGTCATTCAAACTCCTACAGAGCAGGGATACCCAAGGTCCAGCCAACTTTCCCAGCAGGTCTGATTATCCATCTCAATTTAGGTATCACCCTTAGTGCATCTCCTGGGAAGAGGGGGAAACTGCTTCAGCCCCGTGCTCCAAGTATGGGCATTTCCAAAATCTTTGATTTGCTTTCCATGATCAGCAAATGATCTCAGATCACAGCTTGGTGTCTCTTTATGTCTTAGGGGAAGCTTTCTTCATCCCGTTCATCTACTCCCTCCACGTGTTATCTGCTGAGCAGCGACCACACGCCAAGTATTGTTCTGGATGCTGGTGGCTCAGTGGTGGAAGAAGACAGGCATGCAGCTTGAGATCTAGACAAGAGTCGTAGCCCACAAGATGAGGATTTTTCTCTCCCTCCAAGTGAGCTGATTCACATCACGTTGCTTTATAATATAGATCCTCGTCGTTAGTACCGATAGGGATTGTGAATTCTTTATGATGGGGTTAGTGGTACAGTCAAGTCATGATGATGAGTATAAGAAGGATGTATCTCTCTAAGGAGGGCACAAATTCAAATAAAAAGAGAAGAAGAAAGGAGACCAGAAGAGAGGATGGGGAGGAGAGTTTGGAGAACAGAGGAAGGGGACAATTTCGGGGAGAGGAGAGAGAGGAGTGAGAGGGGAGGAGAGGAGAGGGAATTCTGAGTTCATCCCAGCCACTCCACAGATCCTGTGGGTCTCAAATAACTCATTAATTAACTCTGGATCCCCGAATTTGAGACTCACACCCACAAACTTCTTCTCTTCCTCAGAGTCTATGTTAGGATAATGGCCTCCCCATGCTTTGAATGGAATACATAGAAAAAATCAAAGTCCCACCGCCATTTTGTATTAACTACACAAGTCTGTCCGCCCTCATTTCGCACGTCACAACCGCGTTCTCCTTTTCCTTCTAAGGTCAGCAGAGCGTTCTGTTCTCACCTGAGTTGTTTCCCACCTCCAGCCTCGGTGTGAGGTGCTTCGCTCTCACACCGCATTGCCTCTAAATGAAGCCATGAAAGCTTTGAAGGAACTTTGCTCTTCAAATTTATTCCATGAGTGTGACTTCCCAGAAGAAGGCCCCAAAGTTTGAGAAGTATTGATGGTGTTGGGCAGATCGTGGGCATTTTAAGTGACTTCAGATAGGGGACCAGCAGATGGCAATTTTCCTGGGACTTCATCAGCGTTAAGTTTGCTTTCTGAAATCAGCTGACGGTGTGGAGGAAGAAAGCCGGGCATTATTTAGCGCTATTGATTGCCTGTCCTTGTGTTCACTGTTTCTATTTCCTGTGCAGAGAATCCTCTGTCATACCTTTGCTCATTTAGTAATTTGGCCTTGGGGGGTTCTTAAGCAATTTTTTGATTTTTTTTTTTCTGGATGAAACATTTTCAGCCTTGGTCCAAGGAGAGGTGTAAGGGAGTCTAATAGTCCTAGAAGATGTGTGTGCCATAAATGCATGTGTCTACGTCTGTGTGTGTTTATCTGTGTCAGTGTGAGTGTGTATGTATGTGTATGTATGTGTGTGTGTGCGCATGTGTGTGCACATGTGTGTGTGTATCTGTGCAGGTATACATGCCCATATGTAATTGTGAAGGGTTTCTTAACTTTCCTCAGATTCTCAAAAAGTTTAAATTTTTAAAAAATTGTTACTTTTTTTAAAGAAAGGTTTAAATTTTTAAAAAAGGTGTGGCAGTGCACACTGCAATCCCAGCACTCAAGAGGTGGAGGTAAGAGGATTGTGGGTTTGATGTCAGCCTGGACACACAGCAACACTCTTTCTAAACCAACCCACCCAATCACCCACCCCATGAAAATGAGAATGAAAGAGAAAGGAGAAAAAACGCTGTAGAAGGAAGAAGATGGCATGATACCCACGCAGAGGATTAGAGACGATCTGAAGAATAAACCAGGCGCAGCCGGAGGACGGCCATCTTAACCGTTGGAGGATGGTGGAGATGCCAGTGTCAGTAACAAAACTGGAGAGGGAACTTTGGGGAATAGAACGGGGGAGTCCTGAGTCTATTCTGGAGGACTTGGCCTGACAGAGGAGTACTTGCTCACAGTGTGAGCACAGCTGCAGAGAAAGAGAACTGTGGACTAGGATCCAGGGAAAAACCAAGAAAAGTTACAGTATACTTTCATTGAGAGAGAGAGAGGGAGAGAGAGAGAGAGAGAGAGAGAGAGAGAGAGAGAGAGAGAGAGCAGCAAGAGGGGTAGTGTTGGCACCCCACTAGAGCAGGGGGAAGAAGCCATGTATAAAGGCTCCTGCTGGGTAGGTGGCTATGGAGGCAAAAGTCTCTCAATGCATATCTCATTCTGAGAACTCAGAGCAACACCATGGGACTGCACTCTCAGACCTTGGCTGCTTAATTGACTCTAGGGAGGGAAGAAACTTTGAGTCAGAATCATAGAGTTCCATGTAGTGGATATCTGGTCTGAGGCATAGTCTGGGGTGGACCTGAACTCAATGTCCTGTATCCCACATGGTGGAAGGAGGGAACTGACCCTAGCAACTGGTAATCTGCCCTTCACTTGTGTGCACCTCACCCCACCACAGACAAATAAATGTTAAAACAATAGGGGGCTACTGAGATGATTCCGTAGGTGAAGTAGTCACAATGCAAGCCTGATGGCCTGAATCCCATTCCCAGAACACACATAAAAGCTCAAGGGGAGAACTGATGCCATAAAGTTAATCTCTGACCTCCACACACATCTGTCTCTCTGTCTGTCTGTCTGTCTGTCTGTCTGTCTGTCTCTCTCTCTCTCTCTCTCTCTCTCTCTCACACACACACACACACACACACACACCAATAATAAATAGATAGATAGATAGATAGATAGATAGATACATAAATAAATAAAAAAGTTGGAGGAATCTCAAATAAATTAATAATGCACCTCAAGTTCTCAGAAAAATAAAAACAAAGCCAAGCCCATAGTCAGTAGACAGAAAGAAATAAAGATATAAAGAAATAAAGATCAGGGCAGAAATTAATAAAATGTGAATGAAAAGAACAATATAAAAAATCAATGATTTTTTGCAAAGTTAAACAATCTTGTAGTCAAACTAATCAAAAGAGAGGGAAGACACCAATTAATAACATTTGAGATGAAGAGGCAGATGTTCCAACAGATGCCAATGGAATCCAGAGGCTCCCTGGGGTGTACTCTGGGAACTTAGATTCTAATAAATTGGAAAACCTAGGAGAAAATGATAAATTATCAATAAGTAACCAAACTAAACCAAGAGTCTATAAACAAATAGATCTATAACAAGCAACAAGATAGAAATAGTAATACAAATTCTCACAACTAAATAGACGTCCACACACAGGTAGAGTCTCTGCATATTATTCTGAACTATGATGTATGAAAAAACTTTGACAAAGTCCAACACCCCTTAATGACAAAAGCCCTAAAGAGGAACAAAAGGTGTTTACTTCAACATAATAAAGCACATACATGACAAGCCTGTTATTAACATTATATGAAACAATCAAAGACTCAAGAGTAACCACTAACATCAGGAACCAGAGAAGGATGTCCACTCCCTGTATTCTCATTCAACAAAGTCAGTCCTTGAAGTCTTAGCTACATCCATAAGACAAGAAAGGGAATGAATGGGACAAAAATAGTAAAGGAGGAAGTCAACTTATCTCTATTTGCAGATGAGAATGATGCTGTACATAAGGCTCTACATTCCCAGAAAGCTCCTTGAACAGTTTCAGTGGAGAGAAAGACACAAAATCAACATACAAAACTAGAATTAGTAGCTTTTCTTTATGCCAATAGTGGAAATACTGAGAAAGAAATCAAGAAAACAAACGCTTTAAAAAAGATAACTTAAAAACATAAAGCAGTAAGCCTAACCAAGGGATGTGGAAGACTACACTGACAATTTTAAAACACTGAAGAGAGAAATGAAAGGCTTGAGGAGATGGAAAGGACCCCTGTGCCCATGAGTTGCCAGAACTGATATAGGGAATGCGTCTAAATTAGCAAAAGCAATCGACAGTCTCAGGGAAGCTCCCAGAAAAATTCTAATGGCATTCCTCATAGAACTAAAACACAATCTTAAAATTAGTAGAAGGCCCTGGACAACGCCGGGCGGTGGTGGTGCACACCTTTAATCCCAACACTTGGGAGGCAGAGCCAGGCGGATCTCTGTGAGTTCCAGGCCAGCCTGGGCTACCAAGTGAGTTCCAGGAAAGGCACCAAAACTACACAGAGAAACTCTGTCTCAAAAAAACAAAAAAACAAACAAACAAACAAACAACCCCCCCCCCAAAAAAAAACCCTATTAGTCATTCTAGGGCTTTACTTTCTACGTAATCCGCTCTGCGTGATTGCATAATTTGTGTGTAGTGTGCTCACACAATCTATGTGCATGCGTGGCATAGCTCCGTAAGCCCATATGCGCATGTGTGGGGGAATCCATAAAAAGCCGGTCACTCCTCCCCCTTCTTCTCCACCTCCCCCCAATGTCTTCCATAGGCCTAAGCACTTTCTCTTCTGTCCCTCCTTCCCGAATAAACTCTGATGGTGGGTTTTGTCACGCCCCATGGCTTTTCTCACATGGTAACAGCGCCGCTTAATGAATAACCAACACCTTCTCTCTCCCCTGTAGAAAAACCAACTCAAAATAGTCCAAAGGTCTGGAACTCTGAAGTCATTAAAGGAAAACTGAAGGAAGACACTTCAGAAATTCGAGTCCAGGTACAGACTTCCTGGGAAAGACTGTAATCGCTCAGGAAATAATCCCGAGAGTTATATATATATATATACACACACACACAAATTTGGTGTGAAAGCAAAAGAGAAACTTGGAAGGAAACTAGTGAGAAAGTGGAAAGGAGAGGGAAGAGAGACGCAGAGGTGTGTATGTGTGAGTGCACGTGTGTGTGTGTGTGTGTGTGTGTGTGTGTGTGTGTGTGTGTGTGTGTGTGTCACGGTCAGAACCCATGATATAATAGAAAGAAATTGTATTTATTAAACCAAGCACTGTATACAGTGAATATGTACCAGTTTTAAAAATAAAAAGAATGAAAGAAAAGAAAATTTGAAAGTATGGCTGCAGATGTATGACACTTGCCTAGCACGTGCAAGCCCCTGGATTCAACCCCAGCACCCCCAAATCATAGCAATATGAAGAGGGAGGAGTAAGAAGAAGAAAAAAGAAGGGGAGGAGGAAGAGGAGGAAGAAGAAAAGAACAGGAGGAGAAGAGGAGGGGAGGAGAAGAGAGAAGGGGAGGAAGAGAAGAGGAGAAGAAGAGGAAGGGGGAGGAGGAGGGGAGGAAGGGGGAGGGAGCTAAACACCCATTTGTTGCAAATCATCCCCTTGGCATATTATTTCCTTTGCCTTCTACTCTCGGTGTTTGCATATGCATATATGCAGCTTGTTACTTTGATTTACTCTATCAGTCTTTCCCCTTTGTTATTTCTCCTGTGTCCTTTATTCTTGAACTACAACTCCTCACATGGAACAAATACAGACAGCACCTGACTTACAGGGGTCTGGCTTTTGATTTTTAACAGTTGCGTACAGTAAGACTCACCCTGAACACCCAGACTTCTCAGTATGAGGTGTGAGTGTTGGAGTCTTCCTGGGCTGGTGATGTGCAGTATGGGATTCTGAAGTGACCTTGGCAGCTGCAGACAAGGGTAAACAATGGATACTCTATGGTGTCCTCTGTTGCTATGAAGGGTGCTTGGTAAGGTGAGTGTGTAAATAGATGCAGCCCCATTGCAAGGTGAGGAATGAGCATCCGCACACCATTTACTGGCGCTGGGTTGACTACAGCAGTGTTTGAACTGGCCACTTCTAAATCTAGAATGTGTTTTTCGATGTAGACTTAGGTCAACTCTGCAATCACTCCCTGGCTTCCCTGCTTCCTTTATTATAGGACGTTTCTTTCCTTTGCCATTTTGTGACATACTTTTTAAAAGAGATCATTATTTTATTGCATGTATAGAAATGTTTTGCCTGGATGTATTTGTGCATCACATGCATATCTGCTGCCCATGGAGGCCTGAGGAGGGAGCTGGGTTCCCTGGGATGGGAGTGACAGTGGAATTTTGAGTCCTTGTATGGTTTCTGGGAACCAAAGCCTGGTTCTCTGCAAGAGCAGCCAGTGCTCTTAACTACTGAGCCATCTCTCCAGCCCTTGTGACACACGTCTTACATATTAAATTTGTTTGTGGCACTGTACTTACCTTTGGACTTTTGGATACTTTGAGCCACAGTGCTAATTTGCTCCAAAGTACACCACTTTGATATTAGTTATCCATGACTTACTTAACACTGTTAATGTCACCTCTCTGCTTGCCAGGACTCTCGCCACCATTTTGCCAATTCTGTTCCAAATTATTTTAAAATGCATTTTGTCAAATTCTAAAAGAAATCCTTTTAGAGTAAAACATAAAATCATACAATTTATATTATCTTCTGGAAAAAAAGTTACATTTTTCCCCCCATTATTCAAATTTTCTATTATTGCTTTCATGGAAAACTATGTTGTTTCTGGGGGTCTTCAGTCTTTGTATTTTGCTGTTTATATCTGATTGTGAAGTAGATCTTGGTTTTAATTTGTTTTCTGTCTTATATCTGTTTATGAAAATTATTAATTTAAAAATAGCTATCACACTTTCATGACATTAGTTATTAAACTAGTATATTATCACTATTGTTGCATTGATGAAAATAATCAACTTCTTTTTACTTTTTTAAGACTTAAAAAAATTATTAATGTGTATGAGGTATGTCTGAGTGTGCACATGTGTGCAGGTGCTCCCAGAGGCCAGGAGAGAACATCGGAACCCCTGGAGCTGGAGTTACAGGTGGTTGTGAGCGGCCTTATGTGGGTGCTGGAAACTGAACTCAGGTCCTCTGCAAGAGAACATGCACTCTTAACTTCTGAACCATCTCTCCAGCCCAAACATCAGATTTTAAAGTGAATAATCACAGCCTCTGTGGAGGAACCTTCTTTCTACCTCTCTGAGAGTTATTCCTATGCTTTCTTTTTCATGTCTTATCACATCAGCCTGAATTATCAGTATACTATTGAATAACAAGAGCAGTACACTGCTCACCTGCCCACCTCCGCTTTCCTAATGGGAAAGTCTCTGCCTTTTTCCATTAAAGTCGCTAGCTTGGTTTTTAATAGATCTTTACTATGATAAGAAGTGTCATACTGTTCCTATTTTTAAAAAACTGTTTTGACATCCATTGAAACACATTTTTGGCACACACTAGAATGATCGTATGGTTTCTATTATTTAATCTATTGATCTGCTGTGTTGTATTAACAGTCCTTGTGCTGACCCTGCCTTGCATTGCTGGAGACCCTCCATGGTCATGGTGGTTTACTCTCCTAATAAGTTGCTGAACCTCATTCTCTGGGACTGTATTCTTAAGCGATATTAGATCCTGTTTCTTTCTTTCTTTCTTTCTTTCTTTTTTTTTAGAAAAACAGTTCTTTATCAGAGCTCAAAATCAGAACTGTATTTGCCTTGCAAAATGAATTAGCAGATTTTTTTTTTCACCATTCTTTCTCTATGTTAAAGAATAATTTATGTAACATGGAAATGCAGTGTTCTGTAAAATTTGGATAGATTTCTCCAGAGACATTCCGGTGGATAAGAATGTCCTTTTCGGGAGTGGGGAAGATCTCTCTTTAATACATTTCTCCCGCTCTCAGATTTTTCATTGTCTGCCGGTCTCACCCACATTTCTTGTGTCTGTTGCGTTACTTTATAATTTTGTAGCCTGTCATCTGTTTAATTGATAATTTTAAAACAAATTTGCTGTAGAATTATGTGTGCTCCCCCCTCGATAGGTTTTAATCTTTTTGATTCATTGTTATAATCACTTCCTCATTTCTGATTTCATTTGGGCCTCTTTTCTTTTCTTGATTATATTTGCCAGAGGTTGGTCTTTTTTTTATTAGCTCTCACAGAGAGCCAGCTCTGGGTTTTATTTATTGATCCCTCTGTTTTTGTGTCTTCTAATTTGTTTATTCCTCCTATCATCTTTCTTCCCAGCTTAATATTTTCCTTAGGGTCTGAGTGCACACTGCGGGTGGGGTAAGAAGACCCTGCTGTCCAGGGTCCAGAGCACGTGGTTTCTTTGTGGTTTACAGTCTTTAAGTTAAAAAAGCCTGTGAAGGAGTTCATGCCCACTGACAGGCTAAGCGACTGCCTGTGATCTTAAGATGTACAGTGTGTAATATGAGGGAGGGGGCCGTAATGACTGTGTTGTTGGGAGGGGCATTGGGAAATAGCTGACCCAAAGACGACTTCCAGGAATTGGTGTGTGTGTGTGTGTGTGTGTGTGTGTGTGTGTGTGTGTGTGTGTGTGTGCAGCCCAGGGGTCAACTTTGGGTGTCATTCCTCAGGTGCCATCTGCCTTTTGATTATTGTGTGAGTGGGCATGATGTGAATGTGGTGGGGGGGTGGCATGCATGCCGCAGCACCTGTGTGGAGGTTGGAAGACAACTTCATGGAGTCCGTTCTCTCCTCCCACATTGACGAGAACTCTGGGCATCAAACTTGGCCTCTCATGCTTGCCCAGTGAACACTTTCCTAACCGAGCCGTCTCCCCTGGCCCCAGGAGTGCTTTTGTGCCAAACATCCTTCCCATGCCACTTGTCAGCTCCGCTGCGTGCTTTGATTGTTTGTGTCTTTGTTTGTTTTGAGACACGATCTCTCATTGGCTAGGTTAGGCTGGCCCGCCAGTGAGCTCCAGTGATCCTCCTGGCTCTGCTGGATTATATATGTCTGGCTTTCTTACGTGGGTTCTGAGGATCAAACTCAGGTTCACATGCTTTCACAGGAAACATTGAGCAGCTGACCATCTATCTCCTCAGCCCCTAGGAATGCTTCCTTCTGTATCAGGCACCCTCTGCATCTCCAGCCCCACCCACCCCTGCGTCCTTTACCACCGTGGTTGGGTCCTGCAGGTGGCTGCGTCTCCTTCTGTATTCATGTGTTTGTAAAAGGAGAAATGGACTCCCAGGAGACTCATGGCTTTACCGTGGGCTATTTCGTTATTAATAAAAACAGTCTCAGACACCTGGAGGAACTTACAAAGAGTCCTGTTAGAACTCAGGGAATGGGGGGGGGGATCTACGTCACTATTTTTCTTTATTTTTACTAATATCTCAACTGAAATTCAGCATTCTTTAAACAAACTGGAGCCACGCTAGCCATGCTATGACATGTCTCCAATAAAAGTCACAGACATCTTCTTACCACAGGTCAGTGGCTACAGCATCAGACACTCGCAGCTATAGCCTCACCCAAAGCATTTCCTTTCTCTTTCTTTCCTTATAGAAATACGAGGATTGAACCCAGGGCCTCATACATGGCAAGCAGACTCTTTACCACCGAGTTACAGTCTCTAGATTGTTGTCTTACTTAGGGTTTTTATTGCCGTGAAGAGACACCATGACCATGGCAGCTCTTATAAAGGAAAGCATTTAATTGAGGTGACAGCTTAAAGTTTCAGAGGTTTAGTCCACTATCATCGTGGTAGGAAGCATGGCGGTTGAGAATATGGCGACATGCAGGCAGACATGGTGCTGGGGTGCTGGAGAATTCTACATCTTGATCCCAAAGCAACAGGAAGTGAACTGTCTCACTGGTTGTGGCTTGAGCATATATGAGACCTCAAAGCCAGCCTCCACAGTGACACACTTCCTCCAGCGACTCCAACAAGGCCACACCTCCTAATAGTGCCACTCCCTTTGGGGGCCATTTGCTTTCAAACCACCACAGATGCGTTTTAAAAACATAATGATGAACCAGGCATGATGGTGCACCCCTGTAATCCTAGAACTGGGGAGGCTTAGAGAGGGTGTACTGGCTAGTCTTATGTCAACTTGACACAAGTTAGAGTCATCTGAAAGGAGGGAATCTCAACTGAGAAAATGTCTTCATAATCCAGCTATATGGCATTTTCTTCTTTAGCAATTGATGGGGGAGAGCCCAGCCCATTGTGGGTGGTGCCACCCTGGGCAGATTGTCCTAGGTTCTGTAAGAAAGCAGACAGAACAAGCCGTGTGGACCAGTAAGCAGTAACCTCCATGGCCTCTGCATCAGCTCCTGTCTCCAGGTCCCTGCCCTGCTTGAGTTCCTGTCCTGACTTCCTTTGATGAAGAATTGTAATGTGGAAACTTGAGTCAAATAAACCCTTTCAGCTCCAAGTCACTTTGGTCATGGTATTTCATCACAGCAATAATAACCCTATCAAGTCACAGGGAAGTCAAGATTTCAAGGCTAGTGAGAGCTACAAACTGAGTTTGAGGCCAACTAAGGCTGCATAACAAGACCCTGTCGAAGAAGAAGAAGAAGAAGAAGAAGAAGAAGAAGAAGAAGAAGAAGAAGAAGAAGAAGGAGAAGGAGAAGGAGAAGGAGAAGGAGAAGGAGAAGGAGAAG